TACACAAAGAAGTCTTTACACAAAGTGGTTTTTACACACAGAAACTTTTACACACAAAAGCTTTTACACAGAGAAGTCTTTGCACAGAGGCGCCTTTACACGAAGTAACAAGTTGAAATTGGCAGCAGTTCTTCGGGAAAAACCCTTGGCAGGAGCTTTCGGGAACTCACTTGCTCCCCAAAAAAGCCGTCTATTTCCAACAAAGTTCCTATTCGATGAACTTTTTTCAAAAAACATAAGGACTATATTTCTGAAGCAGGTCCCCATCCAAAAGCTTTCAAGCCCACACTGCGATGAAATGGAGGGTCGAGAAATCCGGCGGAGCCGACGAGGGGCGTCAGCCCTTAAAATCCGGCGACGCCTCGCCGTGTAGTGTGGGGAAGCTAAGCATAGCTTTAGCTACCCGGGGGCGCGCCCCTGCCGCCGACCCTCCCCAAAAATCCTTTAGCCTGGTGGGGTTTTCACGTTTTTCGGGGTCTGGGGTGGACAAAAAGAGGGTAAAATTTGAAGATGCATTTTGGAGGTCCCAAAAATCGGAAAAAAGTACCGTTTTGACACATTTTTCGGACGATTTTTCGCTTTTCGGAAGTCACAAAATGCTGTAAATTACAACATTTTTGCGTTTTAACGTCGTTGGCGGGAGCCATGCAAAAACGCAGAAAATGCTGTAAATACCAGTACTTTTTGGACCCGAGATGCACAAAACACTGCAAATACCAGTGTTTTTGAAAGCCAAGCAAAAAAACATTGTAAATTACAGCATTTTTGGCGGGTTGATCGCAAAAAATGCTGGTATTTACAATGTTTCTGCAATTTCAAGCAAACGTGGAAGGCACGAAACACTGTAAATAGCGGTGTTTTGGCAACTTTTGGACGCCGAAACGCTGGTATTTACGATTTTTTTTGCTTGTGACGGGGCCACTCCCCTGTAAATTACAGCATTTTTTGCACTTTTTGAACCGATTTTTTGTCTTGATGAATGCAAAAAACGCTGGTATTTACATGTTTTTCAAAAAATCGAAGATCGTGATGTGAACGAAACTCTGTAAATAAGAGTGTTTTAGCCACTTTCGGGGACTAAAACTGTGGTATTTACACGGGTTCTTACCATCTCACAGCACAAAATGCTGTAAATTACAACACTAGGCATAGGCCAACATAGCCTCAAGATGGGCCAACATAGCCCCAAGATGGGCCAACATAGCCCCAAGATAGGCCGCCGACCCTCAGCATGTCATGTTCGCAAGTTCAGATGACATCCCCCTCTCTCTTTCCCTCCCCCGACCCTTACCGGCGTCGCCGGTGTGCGAAGCTCTACAATATGATGATGGTTATATCCGATTGTATCCCCATATTAGTTGGTGAAATCCCTACTTGATCTACTTGGGAGTGCACTTCGGGTCGTTAATGGGGCAATTCTTGACACAGCCATAAATTATCAATTGGGATATGGGGCCACTATAACTGACTAACTATGGTGAAATCATGTCTTGTGAAATCTATCCACTTAGTTCACTGGAACTGCACCACGTCCAAGTGTGGAAAAAGTCGATCGGCACCTGGCTGGCGCCGATCCCTCAAGCGCCAATCCTCCTCCGTCCAGGCGCCAAACGGCATCCTACCGAAACAGGTCGGATCCATCGGGGTGGAACGACAGAAAGCCAGGGCAAAAACTATGAAGATTTGACCCATAAAGATGGGAGGCTTGAAATTCTGCAAATAGAAATGGGTAAGTTTCTCTGCAAATAGAAATGGAAGTTTGTTTCACCAAAAATTGGGATTTGTCATATGTGTCAGAAGACGGTTAAACATCAAGCTGTGTGAAATGGATTGAAATGGTGCATCCCCAATTGCATGAGGATATCACTCGGTATGGGACCCACTATTGTAGGTGAAAAAGTGGGCGACGTAACTGGATACAACCCAGCAAAATTAGATGAAAACTTACCAGGTTTTGAGCCACCCAAGGCCCCAAAATATGAAAGTCAATAGGGAGAATCATTTCATCTGTTTGGTAGGAAAATCCGGACATATTCAAAGCCGCCAGCCACATCTTAGCCTTGCGTGTTTGTCATTTTCTGCAAGGATCCCAGCCAAAAACAGCAGAAAATATGTGTGCACACCATTCATCCATGTCACTGCGCAAGTGAATACTGAACAATTACACTGCAAACTCTAAAATCATCTAAAATCTCATTTGGGGCCAATACAGAATGTTTGAAGAAACTGTGTTCGAGTCATTCTGAACCAACCCTGCCATATCCCAAGCCCTAAACTTCGGACATCGCCCTCGCCACGTTCCAAGATTCGGACCTCGAAGCCCAGCACCCTGAGACATGGCACTCCAGGTGGATGGCAATGGCAGTGATGTGATGGACCACAGAACAAATCGCCGCCACTTCCGTGATTCTTAGGGTAATGGTGATTATGATGATGATTGTGGTGATTGTGATGATTATATACTTGAAATAGATTCAAATCGAATGTTTTCAGGTTTCATCGGAGATTGCAAGATATTTCAAGTATACAGTATACTAGTAAATGAAAATCCCATGTTCAAAAGTACGATTCAACATTTAGCTTTGTGCTTAGCTTTCAATGTACGAGTATCAAAGTTGTTAGCACTGTAATTTGTAATTATCAAAGTTTCCGCCATGCTCTCGTCAACCAGCTACTGTTGCGTGCTGACCCCTGTGGAAGTTTGGTCCAATTGATTGATTGGTTGGTCCACAAAAGTTGTTCTTAACGTTTTTGAACCAATTTAATCTTGGGCACGCATCCACACAATCTTGTGAATTGCCGAAACGCCCAATATTGCACATAAAGATACATAAAAATTGAACGGTGTTGCACTGCACACCTCCAGAAGAACAAAAACACCACGCCGAGAAAAAAAATGCCCAAACTCTCTTGGCGTCAATCTTTGACACTTTACAATTTCAGCCCGGAAGTGGATGCAAGTGTGAAACCATGCCGTACTGTAGCGTCAGCAAACTAAGTGAAACGAGTTCATCAAAATTCATCCAGTAGGCAAACCTGATGGAAAATCACCCATGTGTATCCATTTGTATGTTATCCCAGCGAACTAAACCTCCATTTTGGATGGGGATTTCCCAGCTGTCCATGTTTGCATTACCGAAGCGTAGCCACACCGACTTTCACCAGCCCCGATGGCTCCCTTTTCTCGTGCCACGATCACAGCGGTGTCACGTCCCTGGCTTCTGCGGAACACGCAGCGGGAACATGAGGCAGCCAGGAATCAGTAAGCAGCTCGAAATACCCAATGATCTCAGTTTGGAAAATACACGCTCCTCAAACATATCTGAAACACTCCTCAACCATATCCAGACATATCTCTTCAAAGCCTCAAAACATATCCGAAACACTCCTCAAACATGGTGAAATGTTACTTGTCCAAACTGGCTCTTGAAATTGACTCTTGTGCCGCATGGGAGCCGTGGGAAGCAACACGGCGTTTTGTTTGGAGGATCATCCCACGGATCAGAACTGGATTGAAACCATTCGACCATCAAATCAGCCATCACCGAGGGTTGGACCCCATCATACCGCTGCACCAAGCCAGCCTGAGACCTCACAATCTGCCACTATCTGCGGTCGGAGACATACCTGGCACGGGTGGGAAGACTATAAGAACCAGAACTTGAAACCTCTGAGAACTTGTCAAATTTGTCAACGGCCAAGTACGGGGAGAGAACGAAAAAAACCTTTGAGATCAACAACCAGAGATACCTCTACCAACTGGCTGGCGAGCTGGTGGACGCAGGCGGCAGAGCGCTTGGCAACGGCAAGGACAGCACGGCATGCCCGGTTTTCGGAGCTGCGAACAATTTTGTACGTTTCATTGGGTTTCAATGTTCGAGAAAATAGTTCAATGTTTGTTTGAGCGCAGCTTTACTGAAAGCAGGAAATCTATCTAATTATACTATTTTGGACCACATTCAAGATTCTCATCCTGGCACTTACAGGAGGATTTGCCGTGGACTATGGCCATCGTCAACATAGTGAATTTGGATGAATTTGGAACGAAGGATGACCGAATGAGCCGGATCAAAAAACATGGAAAAACTATGAAAATATGGGTGCTTTATGTCTGGATGTAAGAACCAGAGAATGAGGAAGCCGGCGAGTGACTTCGCAAAGGACAGCACACAGTTTTTCTGCAACACTGCAGTTCATAGGAGCTACCATCTTGATCTGCAAGCACGTGAGAGTATGCAAACATTGGCTTTTCACATCTTTTGATGACTACATACTCACTACATTTACATATTCCAAAGATCTCCAAAGTATCGAAGCTAGAGCGTACCATGAGATTGAATCTGTCACATGGTGAGGTGTGAATGATTGTGAATGGATTGGCCATTGATAGTATATGCCCATGATCCAGAAGTTCTCCTGGCTTGAAGTTGGTGCTTCCTCCCAGATCCACTGATTTCTTCATCATACTTTGAGACCAGCTCGATGTGAATACTTCTGAGATTTGTTGTCTGTAAGGTGTGAATCGTTCGGCTTCTGGAATGTTGGGATTTGGTACAGTATGATCAATGTATGGCCCGAGACTTCAGAGCTGCCTTCAGATACACAATTTTGATTCGCAGTTGCATGGGACTGTCTAGTGCCAGTCCTCCACACATTGAGTGCTCTATATCATACTTCTGCATGGCTCCGGGCAGAATCGTGTGTGAGAGCCGGAGCGTGTGAGACCAGTCTTCTCCTGTTCAATGATAGCAACTCCAGGTTTCGGATAATTCCAGCGCAGCAACCTGCAGGCTGAATCTGAAGGACCCTAGTTGGTTCACCGCTGATTCATCCAAATTCTGGAAGCCTTGCATTTCTGCATCACAGATTTCGTGCAGGAAAGGGAAACTCAGCAAATCCATCAAAACATTCAGAAATAAAGAGAGCTCTTACATCACCTCGGAGGGTTCACCTGGTTTTCCAACTCCACCAATCCATGTCGGCCTAGAGCTTTCCCGGCCTCACCACTCCTCCTCCTCCTCCTCGTCCTCCTCGTCCTCCTCATCCTCCTCCTCCTCCTCGTCCTCCTCCTCCTCGTCCTCCTTGTCCTCCTCATCCCAGGAGCACGTCAAGGGAACGCCCTTCCTGTTTCGCTCCTCCATCGCCTCCGTCAGGGCCTGTTTTGGTTGACGAATCAGTCGCCAGCGGACAGCACAATGCAGCAGATTGGACAACTCGATCCGAGAACAATGAAATTACAGGACCTTCAAACCATCCAAACTTGTCACTGTCACATGTCAAAGCATGTCGAAAACATGACATCATGACATGCCGCAGCATTCAGCCATTCTGCGAAGCCCACCGCGCACCAGGCCTTGGCGCCCTCGGCACCTATCTGCTTGTTATACAAATTGATATCTGTGACGGACGTGTTTATCTTCAGCGCCTCGGCCAAGGCCTGGAGGCAGCAACAGATCAAGGCTGGCACGTTGTTCAAGGGTTCTACCATCAAAACCTGATCACTGAAATCCTGCGAACAATTGACATTCAAATGAGACATGTCGAATCTCTCTGATTCAAAACTTGGAAAAACGACCCAGAAATCCACGGTTTCATTCAGCATCTACATACAGTATGACATACAGCTGGATTGGGAGTATTTGACAACTCAACTCGATCCGAGATGAACGATGAAACTACAGCACCTCCAAACCAAACTTCTCACTGTCAAAGGATGTCGAAAACATGACATCATGACATGCCGCAGCATTCAGCGATTCAGCGGAGCCCACCACACACCAGGCCTTGGCGCCCTCGGCACCAATCTGGTTCCATAACAAATCGATGTCCGTGACGGACGAGTTTATCTTCAGTGCCTCGGCCAAGGCCTGGAGGCAGCAACAGATCAAGGCTGGCACGTTGTTCAAGGGTTCTACCATCAAAACCTGATCACTGAAATCCCGCGAACAATTGACATTCAACTGAGACATGTCGAATCTCTCTGATTCAAAACTTGGAAAAACGACCCAGAAATCCACGGTTTCATTCAGCATCTACATACAGTATGACATACAGCTGGATTGGGAGTATTTGACAACTCAACTCGATCCGAGATGAACGATGAAACTACAGCACCTCCAAACCAAACTTCTCACTGTCAAAGGATGTCGAAAACATGACATCATGACATGCTGCAGCATTCAGCCGAGCCCACCACAGACCAGGCCTTGGCCCCCTCGTCGCCCATCTCGTTGCTTGACAAACGAATCTTCGTGACGGACCCGTTTATCTTCAGTGCCTCGGCCAAGGCCTGGAGGCAGCGACAGATTAAGGTTGGCATCTCATTCGTGGTGTCTACCGTCAAAACCTGATCACTGAAATCCCACGAACAATTCACATTCAACTGAGACATATCGACTCTCTGATTCAAAACTTGGAAAAACAATCCAGAAATCCACAGTTTCATTCAGCATCTACATACAGCTGGATCCGGAGTCTTTGAAAACTCCACTCGGTCCGAGATGAACGATGAAACTACAGCACCTCCAAAACATACAAACTTCTCACTGTCAAAGGATGTCGAAAACATGACATCATGACATGCCGCAGCATTCAGCGATTCTGCGGAGCCCACCACACACCAGGCCTTGGCGCCCTCGTCGCCAATCTGGCTGTTGTGTGTGCAAAATGATGTTCGTGACGGACCCGTTTATCTTCAGTGCCTCGGCCAAGGCCTGGAGGCAGCGACAGATTAAGGTTGGCATCTCATTCGTGGTGTCTACCGTCAAAACCTGATCACTGAAATCCCACGAACAATTCACATTCAACTGAGAGATATCGAATCTCTCTGATTCAAAACTTGGAAAAACAATCCCCATTCAGCATCGACATATTTGCTGACAACTCAACGCGATCAGAGATGAATGATGAAACTACAGCACCTCCAAACTTCAAACTTGTCACTGTCACAGGATGTCCGGGACATGACATCTTCCATCAAATCGCCGCAGCATTCAGTGGAGCCCACCACACACCAGGCCTTGGCGCCCTCGTCGCCAATCTGGGTGTCATACAAATAGATGTTCGTGATGGACTTGTTGATTTTAAGTGCCTCGGCCAAGGCCTGGAGGCAGCGACAGATCAAGGTTGCCGTCTCGATTTCAGGGCCCTACAGACAAAACCTGACTTCTGAAATGCTCAAAGCAAATGACATTCAATGGAGAAATTCTTCAGACATCCCCAGTTCATTCAGATCATTCAGCAATATTCAGCATCCGCATATTTGCTGACAACTCAACTCGATCAGAGATGAATGATGAAACTACAGCACCTCCAAACCATCCAAACTTGTCACTGTCAGAGGATGTCGAAAACATTCCATCATGACATGCCGCAGCATTCAGCGATTCAGCGGAGCCCACCACACACCAGGCCTTGGCGCCCTCGGCACCAATCTGGTTCGATAACGAATCGATGTCCTTGACGGACGAGTGTATCTTCAGCGCCTCGGCCAGGTCCTGGATCAAGACTTTCAGTCAAAAGGCAGTGTGACTTGAAACCTGGCCATAGCCTTTTAAAGTGGAAAGAACTTAACCTCTATGTGATTAAGGGCATGCACATTTTCACGCATGAGTGCGATCCGTGTACATAGACACTTGGATTAAAAACTGTCGCCATTGTCACGCGAGACGGCAAACGGGCCTGGAGACGGACTGGAGTTTCGAAAGGAGTTCTGCACGCTTGCCTGTCACTCTCTTCCTGCCAACATGTGCTAAGGGCATGTCATAGGGAAAGCGGGTCGGACCAAAATGTCTGTAAAAACTGTCCGCCGTGCCTGCCAGCCTTCAACGGTTTCCAGCACAAAATCAAACACATTGATCACACATTGATCAGAAAACATGGAGCCTGCAAAGGAAACATGTGAGACACCCTGGAGTCAACCTGAAGGAATCACATCCTCTGCTGAAGCTACCTCTGATTGAATTCAGAAAATCTTTATATCAGTCTCTTATATTGAACTCTGGAATGGTTCTGCAAGATTTCCTGGAAATACGAGTTCTGGCGTGATCCTACGCCATTTACTAGAACTTGCGCCAGCCGCATGGCACACCGCTTACGCCAGACATCAACAATCTTCCGCCAGGTGGAAACACACCGACGGTCAAAGTGGACTAATTCTGAAGCAAACAACTCAAATATATCTATTTACTATGCGTTTAATGCGCACTTCTTTTTACTATGCGTTTAATGCGCACTTCTTAACCACAAGTTGACAACCATATGCCTGTTTGAACAGTCAGAACTATCATCCTCCGCATGGCACACCAAGTTTCATGGCATTTCCAACATACAAACTTGGATGTGATCGACGTTACATTCCTATGGTTTCTATGATAAATTCTACTTCATGCCAATCAACCCTTTCATCCACTTCTCCATGGCACACCGCTGATCGGATCGACTTTCTTTTTTCAGGTCATCTTCTTATGCTCTTGGTTTCTTCCGCACAGCTTCCAGCCCCTTCACAAATCTCTTGGTTCTCTTCCCCAAAACCGCGCCTTGCCCAGAATCAGCAGCACAAGCAACAACAGCAGCAGCAGCAGACCAAGCAGCAGACCATTGCAAAGCCTTTCCAAAACCTCTCCGGGCTGGGTTTTGGCTGGCTGCAATTTTAACGAGGTCCGAACGAGGTGCGAACGAGGTACGAACGAGGTCCGAAATCAAATTTTGGGAGACTGACCTCCTAAGTCTTCTGACAAACTCTTTGGTAGCCACACGCTTTCGCATTCTTTTCAGAACAGTAAAACTCAAGAGCTTTAAGCGGTGAAGCAGAAGGAGACAGAAGAGGAGACACAGGGCGAGTAAGGGACACGGAGGGGAGACAAAGGGACACAAGCGTGGCAAACAAGGCGGCGGTGACAAATTTGAGCGGGCACAGACTGTTTGAGACGTAGGAACCGTGATAGACGTAGGAACACGACCGCAACGACTTCTAAAATTTGTCTGCCGACCTAAATCCAGGAAAAGTATACAATAGCCACGACTTTCATCCTTGGGAGTATAGTGGGTAAATCCACAAAGATATGACAGGTAAGCATCGTGTGCCTATGCGAACTGCCAACAAATACATCAGTAAGTTAAAGTCATAGGCGCTGCCCATGCCACAGAAATATACCAGGTTAACAAACAAATGTGTGCCTATGCGAATTGCCAAACAAATGCATCAATAAGTTAAAATCCTAGGATGTCCTAGGTGATGCCCATGTGGGCCTTTCCGCAAGGCACACCACCATCTGGCACAAGATCTTGTAAACGGCACATGTTACAACCTGGACCCAGTAACTGCGGACGTGATTCCTGTTGTAAAAATGCCCTAGATTTGATCAAAACATAGCGAAAGGAAATGCATCTCCAGTTCATTCTACATTTACACCAAACGGAAATTCGGAAATGTAATCTAACTGCAAGTGGATGAAGAGAATTATATTATATCCCAGATCATTGGTAGAGGAGGTCTCCTCCGGATTCCTAAGGATGAAGAACCTGGATTCAATTTGCCTGGATGCTGTTTTAATTCATTAACCAGGAGCATGTCTATTCACTCACGTCAAAAGAGAAAACAATGAGGCTGCAATCCTACGTCTGACTGTCAAAAAATTACATCAATACATGCCGCAGCATTCAGCGAGTATTCTGTGAAGCCCACCACACACACCAGGCCTTGTCACCCTCAGCGCCAATCTGGTTGTATTGCAAAGCGATGTTCGTCATGGACTTGTTGATCTGCAGTGCCTCGGTCAAGGCCTGGAGGCAGCGACATATCAAGGTCGGCGTCTTGCTCGATGGCCCTATGGTCAAAACAAAATCACATTTCACTGAGACATGTCAATCTCTCTGATTCAAGACTTGGCAAACAATCCAGAAATCAACAGTTGGTTACAGCCTCTACATATTTGACAACTCTCCTCGATAAGAGATGAACGATGAAATTACAGCACCTCCAAACAAACAAAATTTCTTTCTGTCAAAGAATGTCAAGGACATGGCATGAATACATGCCGCTGCATTCAACGGAGACAACCGCACACCAGGCCTTGGCACCCTCGGCACCAATGTTGTTGTATTCCCAGTTGATGCTCATGACGGACTTGTTGATCTGCAGTGCCTCGGCCAAGGCCTGGAGGCAGCGACAGATCAAGGTTGGCGTCTAGATTTTAAGCGTCCTACAGGCAAAACCTTAGATCTGAAATCCTCTGACCAAAGGACATTTAATTTAACTAAGACCTGCAAATCTCTCTGATTGAAGCATAGTGAACCCTTGCAAGAACACTCCAGAAATCAACAATAGCTTGCAGCATCTACATAACTGACAACTCTCCTTGTGATGAAAGATGAATGATAAAACTACAGGACCTCCAAACCATCCAAACTTGTCACTGTCACAGGATGCCGGGAAAGTATGGGAAAGTGACATCATGACATGCCGCAGCATTCAGCGATTCTGCGGAGCCCATCCCACACACCAGGCCTTGGCGCCCTCGTCGCCAATCCGGTTGGCTCCCAGATCGATGTCCGTGACGGACGCGTTTGTCTTCAGCGCCTCGGCCAAGGCCTGGAAACAGAGACAGATCAAGGCTGGCGTCTTCATCCAGGGCTCTACCGTTCAAATCGTGATCACTGAAATCCGGAGAACACATGACATTCAACTCTGACATGTGAATCTCTCTGATACAGAACTTGGCAAACAATGCAGAAAGCGACAGTTGCTTACAGCATCTACATATTTGACAACTCTCCTTGCAATGAAAGATGAATGATGAAACTACAGCACCTCCAAACCATCCAAACTGTCGGGGACATGACATCATGACATGCCGCAGCATTCAGCGATTCAGCGGAGCCCATCCCACACACCAGGCCTTGGCGCCCTCGGCACCAATCTTGTTGATTCTCAAATCGATGTTCTTCACGGACACGTTTATCTTCAGCGCCTCGGCCAAGGCCTGGAAACAGAGACAGATCAAGGCTGGCGTCTTCATCCAGGGCTCTACCGTTCAAATCGTGATCACTGAAATCCGGAGAACACATGACATTGAACTCTGACATGTGAATCTCTCTGATACAGAACTTAGCAAACAAAGCAGAAAGCGACAGTTGCTGACAGCATCTACATATTTGACAACTCTCCTTGCGATGAAAGATGAATGATGAAACTACAGGACCTCCAAACCATCCAAACTTGTCACTGCCAAAGGATGTCGAAAACATGAAAACAGAAGCATTCAGCGGTGGGCTCTACCGTCAAAACCTGATCACTGAAATCCTGAGAACAAATATATGCAAATATAAAACAATTACATTTAACTCAGACATGTGAATCTCTCTGATGCGAAACTTAGCAAACAATGGCAATCAACCCAGAAATCCGCACTTTCATTCACCATCTAATCGAATACATGTTCGAAGAGGTCTCCTCGATCAACCTTGAATGACGAAACTCCAGCACCTCCAAACCATCCAAACTTGTCACTGTCACAGGATGCCGGGAAAGTATGGGAAAGTGACATCATGACATGCCGCAGCATTCAGCGATTCTGCGGAGCCCATCCCACACACCAGGCCTTGGCCCCCTCGGCACCAATCTCGTTGAATCGCAAATGGATGTTCGCGACGGACGCGTTTGTCTTCAGCGCCTCGGCCAAGGCCTGGAAACAGAGACAGATCAAGGCTGGCGTCTTCATCCAGGGCTCTACCGTTCAAATCGTGATCACTGAAATCCGGCGAACACATGACATTTAACTCTGACATGTGAATCTCTCCGATACAGAACTTGGCAAACAATGCAGAAAGCGACAGTTGCTTACAGCATCTACATATTTGACAACTCTCCTTGCGATGAAAGATGAACTGAATGATGAAACTACAGCACCTCCAAACCATCCAAACTTGTCACTGTCAAAGGATGTCGGGGACATGACATCATGACATGCCGCAGCATTCAGCGATTCTGCGGAGCCCATCCCACACACCAGGCCTTGGCGCCCTCGTCGCCAATCTTGTTGATTCTCAAATCGATGTTCTTGACGGACGCATTTGTCTTCAGCGCCTCGGCCAAGGCCTGGAAACAGAGACAGATCAAGGCTGGCGTCTTCATCCAGGGCTCTACCGTTCAAATCGTGATCACTGAAATCCGGCGAACACATGACATTTATCTCTGACATCTGAATCTCTCTGATACAGAACTTAGCAAACAATGCAGAAAGCGACAGTTGCTTACAGCATCTACATATTTGACAACTCTCCTTGCGATGAAAGATGAATGATGAGACTAGGTTAACGACCATTTCGCGGCCGTGGTAAAAATGCTCATGATGTGAATAGAAAATAAGCACGCCGCTATAGCGAAACAATGATTTTGTACATCCGGCATGTGAAAATGCATCATCGTCGGTTCAGAAAACTACTTGTTTTTCATCATGATAATGAACATCATCATCATCATCATCATCTTCTTCATCTTCAACTTCATCATCATCATCATCATCTTCATCATCATCATCTTCTTCATCACCATCGTCGTCATCATCACCATCATCATCTTCATCTTCATCTTCATCATCATCATCGTCATCATCACCATCATCATCATCACATCGTCACCCCACCCCTTCAGTAACGTAGCATCCAACATGTGTGCAACGTACAAGGAACGTTAACATGCCCCACCCCACCCCAACCCTTCAGTAACGTAGCATCCAACATGTGTGCAACGTACAAGGAACGTTAACATGCCCCACCCCACCCCAACCCTTCAGTAACGTAGCATCCAGCATGTGTGCAACGTACAAGCAACGTTAACATGCCCCACCCCACCCCAACCCTTCAGTAACGTAGCATCCAACATGTGTGCAACGTACAAGGAACGTTACATGCCCACCCCAACCCAACCCTTCAGTAAGGAGCATCCAAAAATGTGTGCAAGTAACAAGCAACGTTAAAACCTGCCCCACCCACCCCAACCCTTCGTAAGTAGCATCACATGGGGCAAACGTACAGGAACGGTAACATGCCCCACCCCACCCCAACCCTTCAGTAACGTAGCATCCAACATGTGTGCCACTTACAAGGACTTTAACATGCCCCACCCCACCCCAACCCTTCAGTAACGTAGCATCCAACATGTGTGCCACTTACAAGGAACGTTAACATGCCCCACCCCACCCCAACCCTTCAGTAACGTAGCATCCAACATGTGTGCAACGTACAAGGAACGTTAACATGCCCCACCCCAACCCAACCCTTCAGTAACGTAGCATCCAACATGTGTGCCACTTACAAGGAACGTTAACATGCCCCACCCCACCCCAACCCTTCAGTAACGTAGCATCCAAAAACATGTGTGCCACTACAAGGAACGTTAAAACATGCCCCACACCCCCACCCACACCCCAACCCTTCAGTAAACGTAGCACCAACTGTGCTTGCAACGTAAACAAGCAACGTTAACATTGCCCCACCCAACCCAAACCCTTCAAAACGTTCCCCCAAAACGCAAAAAAAAAGCCACTTCGGGCCACGGCCGTTGCAGTGGTGGGTTTCCACTACAGGGACCTCCAAACCATCCAAACTTGTTCACTGTCAAAGGATGTCGAAACATGAAACAGAAGCATTCAGCGTGGGGCTTACGTCAAAACCTGACACTGAATCCTGAGAACAAATCTATGCAAATCATGCAAAAAAAATTTTTTTTTCACTCAAACATGTGAATCTCTCTGATGCGAAACTTAGCAAACAATGGCAATCAACCCAGAAATCCGCACTTTCATTCACCATCTAATCGAATACATGTTCGAAGAAGTCTCCTCGATCAACCATGAATGACGAAACTCCAGCACCTCCAAACCATCCAAACTTGTCACTGTCACAGGATGCCGGGAAAATCCGGGAAAGTATGGGAAAGTGACATCATGACATGCCGCAGCATTCAGCGATTCAGCGGAGCCCATCCCACACACCAGGCCTTGGCCCCCTCGGCACCAATCTTGTTTTCTCGCAAAGCGATGTTCGCGACGGACGAGTTTGTCTTCAGCGCCTCAGCCAAGGCCTGGAAACGGAGAAAGAGTAAGGCTGACGTCTTCATCCAGGGCTCTATCGTTCAAATCGTGATCACTGAAATCCGGCGAACACATGACATTTAACTCCGACATCTGAATCTCTCTGATACAGAACTTAGCAAACAATGCAGAAAGCGACAGTTGCTTACAGCATCTACATATTTGACAACTCTCCTTGAACAGAGATGAATGATGAAACTACAGGACCTCCAAACCATCCAAACTTGTCACTGTCAAAGGATGTCGGGGACATGACATCATGACATGCCGCAGCATTCAGCGATTCTGCGGAGCCCATCCCACACACCAGGCCTTGGCCCCCTCGGCACCAATCTGGTTTCCTGACAAATCGATGTCCGTGACGGACGCGTTTGTCTTCAGCGCCTCGGCCAAGGCCTGGAGGCAGCAACAGATCAAGGCTGGCGGCGTCTTCATCCAGGGCTCTACCGTTCAAATCGTGATCACTGAAATCCGGCGAACACATGACATTTAACTCTGACATCTGAATCTCTCTGATACAGAACTTAGCAAACAAAGCAGAAAGCGACAGTTGCTTACAGCATCTACATATTTGACAACTCTCCTTGCGATGAAAGATGAATGATGAAACTACAGGACCTCCAAACCATCCAAACTTGTCACTGTCAAAGGATGTCGAAAACATGAAAACAGAAGCATTCAGCGGTGGGCTCTACCGTCAAAACCTGATCACTGAAATCCTGAGAACACATGACATTTAACTCTGACATGTGAATCTAGCTGATACAGAACTTAGCAAACAATGCAGAAATCAACAGTTGCTGACAGCATCTACATATTTGACAACTCTCCATGCGATGAAGGATGAATGATGAAACTGCAGCACCTCCAGACCATCCAAATTTGTCACTGTCACAGGATGCCGGGAAAGTATGGGAAAGTGGCATCATGACATGCCGCAGCATTCAGCGGAGCCCACCAGTCACCAGGCCTTGGCGCCCTCGTCGCCAATCTGGTTCCTTACCAAATTGATGTTCGTGACGGACGCATTTGTCTTCAGCGCTTCGGCCAAGGCTTGGAAACGGAGAGAGATCAAGGCTGGCGTCTTCATCCAGGGCTCTACCGTTCAAATCGTGATCACTGAAATCCGGAGAACACATGACATATCATGACATTTATTTGAGACATTCTCCCTGATACAAAATTTGAAAGAACAATCCGGAAATCCACAATTTCATTCATGATATATCATGTTGACAGATTTCATTCAAACATTCGATTCATAGTCACCAAACTCAATGTAGGAACTTGGATCCTTGGGTCCTCTATGAGGAAGGTTTTGGCTGTTGAGCCCAGCTAAATACCGAAAATAAAGCACAGTGTTTTTCAAACAAACGGCATTGCCCCTTTTTTTGAAACCTGCTTTTCTCATTTTTCCCCACCTGCCAGGTGAGGGTTGTTAGATTTTATGTCAGTTGCCTCCTCCTCCTCCTGCTCCTCCTCCTGCTCCTCCTCCTGCTCCTCCTCCTCCTCTCCTCCTCCTCGTCCTCCTCGTCGTCCTCGTCGTCCTCGTCGTCCTTGCTCAACTGCGATCCGCGATCCACAGTGTTCGCTGCCGGACCTCAACCACGACCATCCACGCCCAGTGTTCCCTGCCGGACCTCAACCACGACCATCCGCGCCCAGTGTTCCCTGCCGGACCTCAACCACGACCATCCGCGCCCAGTGTTCCCTGCCGGACCTCAACCGCGACCATCTGCGCCCAGTGTTCCCTGCCGGACCTCAACCACGACCATCCGCGCCCAGTGTTCCCTGCCGGACCTCAACCGCGACCATCCGCGCCCAGTGTTCCCTGCCGGACCTCAACCGCGACCATCCGCGCCCAGTGGTCCCTGCCGGACCTCAACCGCTCTTCTGACATATCTTCTGACATTTTATTTGGCATTCTATTTGACATATCTTCTGGCATATGATCTGGCATATCTTCTGGCATATCTTCTGGCATTCTATCTGGCAAATCTTCTGGCATTCTATCTGGCATATCTTCTGGCATTCTATCTGACATATCTTCTGGCATTCAATCTGGCATTCTATCTGGCATATCTTCTGGCATATACTCTGACATATCTTCTGGCATTCTATCTGACATATCTTCTGGCATATATTCTGACATATCTTCTGGCATATCTTCTGGCATATCTTCTGGCATATCTTCTGGCATATCTATCTGGCATATTTTCTGGCATATTTTCTGGCATTCTATCTGGCAAATCTTCTGGCATTCTATCTGGCATATCTTCTGGCATATTATCTGGCATTCTATCTGGCATATCTTCTGGCATATATTCTGACATATCTTCTGGCATTCTATCTGGCATTCTATTTGGCATTCTATCTGGCATTCTATCTGGCATATCTTCTGGCACTCTATCTGACATATCTTCTGGCATTGGCAAATCTTTCCCTGCCGGACCTCATGTAGGAAGATATGGGACAAAGAATGTGCAGAAGAAAGTTAGAAAGAATTTCAGACAAGTATGTCTAAGTATGTGATATATTACTTGCGAACTTGCAGGTGTGTGGTAGTGTGATCGGGGCAATGCCACTATTGAGTTTGCGGGTGGCAAAGTTTGAAGCAATCAGTTTGAACAGATGACAGAGTCACTGGGGTGGACAGAGACATTTCCATTTCTGTACCTTTGGAGCTGTTTGCAAAGACGCTTGAGACAGGCAACATCTTACAGCAAGTTACTACAAATTACTTGATGGGATCTCATGCTGGATTGATGCTTGAGACAGTCAACATCACACAGAGTTTCTACTGTGTATCACAGCTATGGTAGCATGGTGGATATGTGACATCGGAACATTTGCTGGAGCATTTGCGCCCTCATCTACTCGATCGCGGGCCAGAGGCAGGATGGACATCATCATAGAAGCATTCAGCAGGAGGAGGTTATGTGATCAGTAGTGTCTTCTTGCGTGTTTTTGTTTGCTTGGCAGGTGATGGCAGAGGGTGACTAATCTGCGAGTGCTGCGCAGGCGATGGGTTTGAGTGGAAGTAAGCACATTGGCCAGTAAGTGTTGGATAAGTGATGTGGAAAGCAGCTTGTGCTTTGGGACCTTGCGCAACAGCCGAGGCGAGCTCAAGCACAAGCAAAAACGTGAATAAGATAATGGTGCTCAAAGGTGTATCTCTTCGAAATGTTTCAGTGAGACAGAGTGGAGAAGTTACATACGATCTAGATATTTAGATGTCGCTTGACACTGCAAGATGGACACTATCTTTTTGCACTTGGGAAGTTTGAACACATTGGGACTGAACTGGTTTTGACCGGGAAGGTCTTGTGTTTCAAGAGCCATGGCAAAGAGATCATGGCCATTTGCTGTCACGAGTTGGGATGACACTGTGAAATTTGCGCAGCTTTTGTTTGGTGTAGACGTTGTCTATGAGAACTATGCAGAGAGATTGCCGCATAGATCGGATAAATCCTTCTTGCTATTCGCCAAAGGCGCTTGTGCTGAGGGAAGGCCCTTCTTCGAGATCGGAGATCTCATTGGGCCACAGTTGGAAGAGATTCAATGTTGGGAACAAAATGTTCGCAACAACAATGCGCGTCCAACGAAATCGCAGCAGATGCTGAATTCTGATGGATGGACTGTGTACTACTGGAGTGCGCAGGTGACGCGTGCTCCCTGTCTGTGTCGCAGCAGCTTTGGAGCAGACGCTCACCAGAAACATGTGCCAACTTCATCGGCCATGTGGCAAGCTGGAAGCAGATTTGAGAAAGTATGGGACGCCACATTGATGAAGAACTATGAAGCTTTTCAGAATCGAGATTTGCGTCCCACTTGGCTTGACAAGTCATGGCAGGTGTTGTGGAATTGGAATGATCACAACCAAAATCATGGAATCAGCCCTCATTCAGATGAGTCTGCCACTTACAGCAATGTTGATCCGATCACGTCCTTTTCATTTGGGCATGGGGGTGTGTTGACCTTGGGCCCCAAAAAAGGTCTAGTGACAAGGATGTTGTTCCAAGAAGGCGGTGACGCTTTGGTGATGGCAGGAGACTTCCAAGCAGAGTTTTGCCATGGTGTGCCGGCGCGCTCCACTTGGAAAGATTTGAAGTCGCTTTCTATGTTTGCCACAATGAAAGAGTGGGAGAAAGTTGGGCTGCAGCAGGAAATTGCTTTGCATGAAGGTGCTGAGCCAGAAGCCAAGCATGTCCGCATGAATTGCACGGTCCGCTGGCACAACACACATTGGGCTGGATGTCCGGTGCGGGGGCCAGAAGGTCATGGGACTCAACCGGTTTCGACTGGAGCTGTCCAGACGTCTTCAAGCTCTTTGGCGCCTGGCGAAGACCGTGTGAATGTTTCTGCTGGAGCTGCGGCAGGGATCCAAGGGACTCAACCGGTTTTGACCGGGGCTGTCCGGGTGCCTGCTGCAAGTTTCACTGGCATTAAGAAGCGAGGTGTGGAAGAAGAGGCAACACCCTCTGTCAGCACCGTGAAAACATCTCGTTCAGGTGAAGAGTTGCCGCTGGAGGGCGCGGATGACACAATTAAGAGTCTACTGGATTGTATTGAAGCATGTGTGCGACAGAATGATCTTTTTACGTTGGCCATTACAGGCACTCCATTGGTCGCAGCCACACAGGTGCATGCTGAGATGTTAGCCAAGATTGACGAAAATGTGAAAAATTTGAGGGCCCGGCTTCTGGCGGCATCAGAAGCCGTTGAAGCATTTTCGCGTTGTCGAGTTGACCGACTTCAGTTCAAGTCGCTGAACTTGATGGAGCTGGCAGCGCAGCAGCGCAGAATTATCCACAGAGAGCTTGGCAATTTCTAGACTTCTGAAAATTCGTCGTGGTTGATAGAAACAAGAAGCAAAACGCAACAAAATTGTTTGAACAAAGATCCGCAGTATCGCAAGTGTTTGCTTTCGCATCGTCAACTGGAGTTACTTCTGGAAACTTTGAGCGAAACAATGATGAAGAAGTATGAGGAGATTGCCTTTGACTTGCGCACCTTACAGCGTGGAGTTCTTCCACGGAAGTTGACCTGTGCAAAGAGGCACCAACATGCGAAGCAACATCAAAATGAAGATTTGGGGTTGGATGTGTATGAGGTTGCTTCTGATTCAGTGCTCTTGGTGAAAGCTTTGGAGGTCGGTTACGTATCGGACATGGACAAGGCCACGCGCCTTCAGACTGTAACAAGTGCATGGCAGAAGTTGCTGTCAGTCATGTCCGGTGTTGAGATCGTGCATAGTCTGAAACAAGGGCTCTTGACACTGCTGCAGCATTTGCGCACGATGGATGTGGACAGACACTGTTGTGATCGGACCTCTGAGGAATTAGTGAGCGAAAATTATGACATTTGGGTTTGGATGACGAAGGTCACGCCTTGAG